GGTTGAGGAAGGTGATTCTCCCCTTCTACTCCACTCTCATGAGACCCCACCTGGAGTACTGCATCCAGCTCTGGGATCCTTAGCACGAGGAAGACATGGACCTGTTAGAGAGGGTCCACAGCCACAAAAATGATCAGAGGCCTGGAAATCCTCACCCATGAAGCAAGTTGGCATTTTTCAGCCTGGAGAAGAGAAAGCTGCAGGAAGACCTTATTGCAGCCTTTCAGTATAGAAAGGGGGCTTGTAAGAAAGAAAGAGACTTTTTACCAGGGCCTGTAGTGACAGGACAAGGGGCAATGGTTTTAAACTCAAAGAGGGCAGATTTAGGTTGGATATCAGGAAGACATTTTTTTATAAGTGGTGGGACTCCAGAACAGGTTGCCCAGAGAAGCTGTGGATGCCTCATTACTGAAAATGTTCAAGGTCAGGTTGGACAGGACTTTGAGCAACCTAATCTAGTTTAAGATGTCCCTGCCCCTGTCCATTCTGACCCAAACCACTGTATGATTCTATCTTTACCATACTAGAACAGTGTGATGACAAATAAAGATGTTATCGTCCCATAATTTATAGAACACTTACTTGGATTTAGATAGTAATATTTTTTCAAAAAGGTAATTTTTGTTATTGGGAAAAATTCTGCTGCAAATTACAAATCAAAATTAAATCTACTGACTTCCCATTGAAATTCACCTTTACTTATGTGGAAACAAAATTAAAAAGTAATTCTGTAATTTGGTTGACTACTTTGAATAAATGTTTTCTTCAAATTTATTGCTGCAATTGTCTCAAAGAAAAAAGATTGCTTCTGTGCGTTTTTTCTTCTAAAAAGAGTAATATAACAAGAGTTGCAAGGGAAATTACTAAATTCATCCACATACTCTCTAATTTAAGGGGAGAAGGGGAACATCAAATGCAGAACATTGAAATTATTTGTTTTGCAGGCTACTTTGGAACTGAATTGTACTTCTGGAAGTCCCTGAAGTGTCACTGTGAGAAGCATATAATGTCTGCGTTTCATTTGATGATTTGGGGAAATCAGTAAATATGTTAGATGTTAGGTATTTACATATTATGAATGCATCCTGAACTCTTGTCCTTCACATTTCAGAAGAAGTGTCAAAGACCATTAAGGAAATGTGAGTGTTTTTTATGACAATTACAAATTCTACAGTACATTATATGCATAAATGTAAGGAAAGAGATGTGCTATGTGCATAATGAATTTTCATAGATTAGGATTTCTTATCAATTATGCAATTTTATGATGAAAGTTGCCATAAGAAATCTTTGTGCTACCCATATGTCTTTACATAAACAAACATGTAAGTAGTTTGTCTGTTAAGAGCACATCTTTTTACTATATTTGGTATTAATTTACTAACAAATCTTGATCTCATACTACCTACATGATCTTCACCCAATTTATAATTTACATATTTTCAAGTTTTTATCAATGAAGTTTAAACACTTAGATGTTTTGTAATTTCAACATATTTTGTAATTTAAAACATATATTATACATGTCAACTAAGACTCCTGTATTAAACAGTGATAGAATTATTCTTATGTAATTGTTATACTGTAACCATTTTTTGCATCTAGAGTTGGCAGTCTGCATTCCACCACCCTCAGAAAACAACTGTTATTTAGCTGTTTACCTCTTTATTGTGTTTTTTTCAGTTTTACGTAACAGGAACAGTAGGGGGCATTCAGAGCTTTAGATGCTGGATATGGCTGGATATGATCCTATGACACTATTTAACTGCATTTTAAATGTGTAGAATGCAGTTGAATTAATTTACAGTATACCACATTAAATCCATTAATTTCTGTAATATAAATTTACGCACCATGAGCTTCTAATTTACTTTTTTGTTGTCTTGCTCATTACTTTCACTTAAGCTTTTAGAAGCATTTCTTTTACACAGATTTTTAATGAAATAGATGAAAAGCAAAGACGTATTACAAATTAGTTGCAACAATTTTTAAATAATGAACAAAATTATTTTCTTAAATTGAAAGCACATCATACATTGATCCTTGCAAAACAGGAAAAAAGGTCTGACTTGAGTATATTATTCGCTGCGGTGAAAAGTGTCAGGAAAAATGGATATATCCTTCTCTCCCAATCTCAGAAGAAAAAACAAGGAAGAAAAATAGCCCAGTATTTCTCATAAGCTGTGCCTTCAGCTCCATCGATCTGAGAAAAGCTGAGAGCTACAAGGTGCCACCTGCCTTATAGAGCCTATTGGCAAATAAGCAAAAGCCTCAGAAACCTATACAGTCATGAGAACATATAGGTATTAGGTTGGGGATGCCACTCTGTTGATCTTTGAGGATATGTTTGTGGACATGGCTTTATATTAACATGGCATTTCCCTCATTGCATGATATGGACAATATTCTCCCACACAGAGTGCTAATTAGCAGGGGAAACTTGCTGTTAGCAAAGTCATCCACCTACTATTGCTGGTGATTGTCTAGAGTGGAACACAAGGGGATTTACAAGGTCAGAACCGTGTATGGATGAGTTTAACTTCAAAGTTTAATATGATCAGGATTCCCTTAAGAGACTTAAGGTCCAACATTTCTTGTGAGGATTGTTCACATATTTTCCATTTTGGAAAAAAATGCATAAACAGCAGGACATCTGACGACAACACCTTTTTTGGTATATGATTAGATGTATCCTGCTTATTCGCTCCAGCAATCAAACTGGAGAGACTGGACAGCACAGCTAATTAAGCTCAAGAATATCATAGAAGTTTGGACGTGTATTGCTCTTGTAAGACCCCACCTGGAGTGCTGTGTTCAGATGTGGGGCCCCCCACAATAAAAAAGACCTGGACCTGTCGGAGAGAGTGCAGAGAAGAGGCACAAAATTGGTCAGAGGGCTGGAGCACCTCCCCTATGAGGACAGGCTGACAAGAGTTGGGGTTGTTCAGCCTGGAGAAAAGAAGGCTCTGAGGAGACTTAATAGCAGCCTTCCGGTACCTGAAGGGGGCCTACAGGAGAGATGGGGAGGCACTCTTTATCAGGGAGTGTAGTGAGAGGACAAGGGGTAACGGGTATAAGCTGAAAGAGGGTAGATTTACACTAGACATTAGGAAAAAGTTTTTCACTGTGAGGATGGTGAGGCACTGGAACAGGTTGCCCAGGGAAGCTGTGGATGCCCCATCCCTGGAGGTGTTCGAGGCCAGGCTGGATGAGGCTTTGAGCAACCTGGGCTAGTGGGAGGTGTCCCTGCCCATGGAACTTGATGATCTTTAAGGTCCTTTCTAACCCAAACCATTCTATGATCCTATGATATGTGGGATTGGAAAGAAGTAGGTTTTTGTATTTACATTTCTCCTTCTGATCTTACTGAAATATCTTTTTCACTGTCTTTCTGAAGTTACCGCATAGCTTATAGTTTTCTGTCAATAGAGTATAAGGAATCTCTTCAAGCAAATGGGTAACATGCAATCAAAATTTGCTTTTGTATGTTGTTGCATAAATAAAACTGAAAAAAAAAGCCTTCTCCTTAACAAAAGGTAATCCTACAATTCTACTAGTTTCATCCTACACGCAACAGTTGATGAGAATGAGAAACTCAGAGAAACTCCTAACCTGCATTGCAAACCACAAAATTACAAGTTTTGCTTTTTGCATTTTCTCTTGGATGAGCCAGGATATTATAGGATTTCCCAGAAGACTGTCACATGGACTTATTTTATTACTTTATTTTCCTATATTTCCTGCAGTAATACTTGACATTCATACCATAGTTATCGTATGGATTCCAATGGTTAAGTGTGTAACCTCAAACATCAAATAGATAATTCAAGAAATGGAATCTCACACTGGTTAAGTATTTGCAATTTCGGTCTAACAGTTCTTATTTTCCCACAGATCGCCTACTGGCCACACTAATGTAGACACTGAGAGTGCAATTCATTTGTTAGATTGTACTTTGCTGTTTGAGGCATTGTAGGGTTCCCTACCTGGAGTCCATCAGCCACTCCATAAGGACATGGACATTCTAAGCATCCTCTGTCATACCCTCAGGCCCACACAGATGTCTCCATTACTGCAGGGCTTTAGGAGGTACTGGATTTCTGTGTTTGGGCAAATGAATCCTGCCTTACTTCTGGTCATGTTAATAATCCTGCTGGCTACTGTGATTACACTGACTAGACCTCTGTGGAACAGAACAGTGCATATACAGGTAACGTAGACACTAAAATTTACATCTGAATGTGGAGCTGACTCCCACCTTTATGTTCCAATAACTTCCTGATTACTGGCGAATTCAATAGCTTATGGCTACTACTCATATTTCACAGCTTACTTCCGGTCCTCAGGCAGCTCAGCTGACTATAGATGGTGTCAGATTTTAATTGCTTTCCTTCTTTCTATATCTAAATACGAATGGACCTATATAAGAATATAGAGTATGAAACAGAAGGTGTACCACATGTTTGACAACAGAATGCAACATACTTATCCTGCCCTTATCCACTGTAATACTCCCATCATTTTTTCCTAATATTTATGTGTCCTTTCTGCTGCACATGCATACATGCAGTCCATCTGGTTTGTCATTTATCTCTGCATATCAGTTAATTTACAGTACACTCAAAATTTACCAAGAATATTAATTTCATCTCAAAGTTTTTAATTAATTTTATATTTTAAAAAAAGACACTGAATTTATGCAGATTTACATCAATATATATAGGATGCACATTTAGAGTATGTCTTAATACAATTTTTCAGAAACAAGGAAAAGTTTTTTTCATACATTTTAAATCTAATATCATTTAGGTCAGTGCACCTCCAGAAGAAAGATATCTGGTATGCTTATATGGGAAGATTTTAACAGTCTTGGAGAAAAAATTACTGGAAGAATGGAAAACAGATTTTTTTTTTTTTAATTTGGCTATAAATTTACCAGGCCTAAAGCATATGTTCTGCTCTTTTCTGATGATGTACACAAATATTTTTTATCACTTCACCTGTTCATTCACTCTGGAGTGTGATGGCCCATGATGGATGAGAATCTTCACAATGTCTACATCTCCTCTCCAAGCAGCCAAGTGAATGGGAAAATAACCTTTATTATCTGCCACATTAGTTGATGCTTCATACTGAAGTAATTTGAGAACTATATCCCTGGAAAACAGGAAGTCAATCTAAAAATTGACATGAAGCTTATTTTATTCAGTTTTACATGAACATACACATTACCAAAATTTTTACCCTATCAGAAAAAACACAGTATTTCAAGTGAAACAGATACAAAAATGAAGACCGATCATTTCTAAGAATGAAACAGATAGTAAAACACAGCCAAAATGTTATTAATTGTAATGATTCTTACTTCTTATAAATACTCATCAACAAAATTGTCATCAGTTCTCTGAATCTGTTTCTTTCAACAGAATCACTTGGCCAAGGAATAATTTTTAGAATTTGCCAGTCCAGGGCACGTACACGTCCCTCAAGACAAACCTTCCAGGCACTAAAAGCAGAGCAGTGCTCCTGTTCCCATCATTGCTGAGTTCTGGAGGCAGGAAGACAAGAGGGTTGGGTTATGGACACAGTTCTTGCCATAGGGCTTAAAAGTAACAGCTTTTCTTCTTCTTTAAGGCATTATCTCAAAGATGGAGGAAACAATTTAATTATGATCTAGTTAGATATATACTATCTTCCATGGACTAATTGTTTCTATTTTCATTTCCCACATCCAGCTTCCTGAGAGCAATGAGGAAAAAGGCAGCTTTTATTTCAATTCTTATTATATTCCTTTCAGTATTTTCAGTGTGGCTTATCATACATTAAATGAAAGATTAGTATAAGCTGGTATATTGCATCCCCGATTTTTAAGCAGTCTCCTGTACTTAACTTCAAAAGTTAAACCTAAAAATCAACTCTATGGTACGACCATTGGTTATCAAGTATGTCAGAAAGTAAATAAATTGTCTTATCTTTCCATTCGTCTTCTCATAGTTTGACAAAGTCAGGCCTCATTAGTTTTTATGTTAATAGCATCTATGATCCAGTGTGGGCAGTTCTGTGCACATTTTTCCAGAACAGGGAAACACTGGCTCTTACTGATTTGGCTCAAAAAATCAGGGGGAGGAGGGAGTTCAACGCAGTTTATTTTATGATTGAAAATGAAGCCCTTGACTACAAATTAAGACAGACTGTAAATCCCAAGGCAATTGTTCTCCCAAGCTTCAGGGAACCTTATTTAATTGTCTATTGAGAGAAAAATGTGGCAAGTAAGAGTGAATATATCCAGGTCAAAAAGAAACTCCCAATTGTCTTCAAACTAAGTCATAGAGATACTGGTGTCATCATATTTAAGCTCTGAAGGAGACTTCAGGCTGGAGTTTGCTTGTTCCTGACAAGGTCAAATAACATGAAAACAACAAAGAAAAAGCAGCTCCACTACAGAAAGACTTTTGCTACACAGAAAGTTCCAGAAAAGTGACCCCTGAGAGAAACTTTTTAGTACAAATAAGGTTTGAGAGACTTCTCATGTCATAATAGTTGGTCTTGCAGTAGATGGTTTAATGAAGGCTAGAGATAGAGTAGTTTGAAAGGGACACAAATCAAAGGAAACAGAAATTGAACTAAGTGGAGGAAAAACAGAAAAAAACCCTCCACAGATGAAATCTGTAGGTAACATTATACAGCAATTACTGGGAAGAGTCTGTTGCAAGATTCAAGCTACAAAATAGAGCCTAGGTCTCCTTCATCCTTTAAGAATGCCCCAACCCATCACACTTCTCTAGGGTAAGTCTTTTTTAGTGCTCTGTCAGAACTCTTTCATTTTGTATAAATAAATTTCAGAAAGAAGACTGAGAGTACTTAGCCAAGTAACGTTACTGGGATAAGTAAAATTGCTTAGGGAGACTGAGATTAAAGTCCCTGCCCCAGATATAATTTAATTACTTATATAAAGAAGAATAGTTTCAAAATGAAAGAGAATTATCCCAGAATAACCAAGGAGGGAATTAATCAAATACAATGATCAAGCAGTGACTTGAACACTGGTATCCAACAACTGTCCCAGCCACAAATTATTGCTTAGGTCATTAGGTCTTACGTTCTCACTTTTCCTGAAAAACTTTGAAACCTCTCAAGTTCATCCTAATGTAAAGTGTGAAAAATTAAAACCTAAGAAGTTTTCAAAGGACAAGACCTCTCCCAAGTGGGAAGCCACTTGTGTCAAAAGATATTGTATCCAATATTGATCTTTAATATCTGATATAAAATCTGAAGCTGAGTGTAAAGCTCTTTATTTGTTATTTGTGGTGACTAACAAAATTGCAACCACCAGATGTTTGTCCCATTCTCTTGCTGACAGTGCTATCGTTGTAGCAGGATCAGTATGGTGGCTTGGACAGTAGAGGTCCTGAACCATCATTATTTACCATTAAATACCTCACGATGTGTTTCAGTTGACTTTAATACAACAAGCTATAAATGTGGTGTTAGTAACTGCTACTTACCCTGTTGTGAGGTAAGGAGTCATAGCAGCCAGTGGCCATTATGATCTTTTAAAAAGATGCAGTTATATCTACTGCTGTGCAAAAATCCACATCTTGGAAGTTCTCTCTGACTTCATTGGAAGTTTGGCCAACACTGTGTCTGAAAACACTAGCTGGCTTTTGTATGTTTTGGGATTTTATAGTCGATATTGCTAGCATGCACTTGAAATCTCTGATAGATTCAGCATTTACACAGCAATATTTTTATTTTTCTGATTAACTACTGGTTTATAGTCAGTATTAAACATACTAAAACCAGTTTTCATCTATTTAAAACCAGCAATCTTTGAAAGCTAAAGCTTGGGCTTTTGTCAATCAAAAATGTGCAATGGCACAAGAACCAATCCATAAACTATAAACAAGAGAAATGTAATTTCTCCCTTTTTAAAAAAGGCTTGAGTTTGATAGACCATATCTAGGACTTAGATCTAACTCCATAGAGGTAAAATATATTAATGGATGACTCTGAATCTTGCTACAGAACCAATTTTTTGGAAAATGCACAATATTTAATTTAGCAAGATTTTAACTTCATTTATTCAGAAACAGAATATCTAATATTCACCAAAACTAAAGAAAATATGCAGGTGTCTAGAAGACAACTGAGACACAACCTAAAGTTTTAATTCCTCCAAGGAAGAATGCAAAAATTGCAAAATGAGTAAACTATTATTATAGATTCATGTTATCTTATGGACAGTCCAAAATCACAATTAAGTTAGTGTGAATCACTTAATTTCAGTTGATTTTTGATCAGTTCCTTATCTCCTACAGAGGAATAAGACAAAGCCTTAGGTCAAAATTTTCTTTAGTGAAAATCCAGACAGGAATAACACCGTCAGTTTACAAACAGAATAGCTGGACTGCATTGTGGGGCAGTCGTACCTGGGTTACAGTGGGGTCCATCCCAGTAGAATTTTATAGACCTCATTAAAATCTTTCTTTCTTCGTCTGCCTTGATAGCAATATGCAGCTTCTAAACTGCATTTCCCATTTATCATTACTACATGCTGATATCAATGGCTGTCAAAAATTCTGATATTAATACATCCCATGAGAAATAAGATTATTTTATTAAGTCAGGGTTTGTCAACTTTCAGTGAAAATCTCAGTGCTATGCTACATATTTTTAAGTTACACAGTGAAATACCATTCTACATAAAAAGTAAACATGAGGCACTTACTTGTGTCCATTTAAAGCTGCATGATGTAAAGCAGTATAACCTGAACTGTCTGTGCAGTTTATATTTGGTCCTCGCCAGATGCTGCAAATAAATCACAATTGTAAAGTTAATTTTTTGGCTTGGCAAGTACAGAAATGACTGAAATGTGATGTATAAATAATCTAAAGATCACTGTAACAAGTGTGATTAAACTTTAAGAGACAAATTATCTTGAAAATAACTTAAAATAGCAAATGTCATGTTGAGATCAATATAATGTATTTATAAAAATAATTTTACAGATTCATCTTCATAGCAGTCATGAACTTTATGTCATTTCAATTAGATCTGTTCTCCCAGTATTACTCTGGTAATTATACTGAGGTTATAATCTGATTTTGCACTACTTTTTTCACACGTATATATTCATTGGCTTTAGGTCAGCTAGTCTAGATTCATACAAATGTAAGATTAGTGAGAACCAATCATATGCTTAAAAGGGACAGTAAATTTATTCTTTTTGCTGGGACTGATATTTGAGCTCCCATTTTAACCACTTATTTTTTTTAAATAAATCACATATGTATAAAACAAAAATTTAATAAACATTTCTCTTTTTTCTGTTCTCTTTCTGTATTTTACAGCACTTACTTTACAGTCAGCTTCACTATATGTGCCATGTAACCAGTTTCATGATCTATTATGGACTGTTCAAAACAAGTAAAGTAAATTTTTTATTTCAAAGTAGACAATGTGACTGCTAATCTACAAAAAAAACCAACCAACCAAACAAACAAACAAAAAAAAAACCTCCAAAAAACCCTCCCAAAAAACCCAAACCCTGGCAATTGGATACCAGAGGCATATCGAGTTTCTTCTAACTGACTGCTTTTGAAGCTGATTGTATCCTTTGTGGAAGCAATTTTTTTATTCTGTAACACAGTTTTCAATCAGTATTACAACTTCCAGGACACAAGACTATGAGCCCTGAACTACAGTCTGTTTTCTTTAGCTTCTAACACAGGTAGAACTGTTAAACAGTCACAGAACAGTTAAACAGTCATTGTCAAGCCATATTTTCCCTTCACGTCATACCTTAGAACTAAGTGCTGTGGTTTAAAGAAAATAATCTGAAGGTAATAAGTAAAAACAGTTTTTCATACTGATATTTTTCATGATCTACATCAATAAAATGACATGTTATGCTTAACACGTGCTTTTTAAGAATTCTTTACTACTGAATCTGTATTTTATTACTAACAGAATACTGGTGTTGCAGACTGGTCTTTTTTTCATTGTGTGTGTTTGAATGATTAATTAGCTCATAAATTTAAGCAGTTGTTTTTCCCGTAAGTAATACTGCACGCATACAAAATTATTTGTCTGATACATTGTGTTCTGCGGTGAGTGTAGTTCTGCATAGTGATGGTACCTGACCTTTCCCTGCAATTTAATTTCTTGGAAGAACTATTTTCCTGGGTGCAAATAAGCAAAAAATAAAATAATTTTTAATCTGCTCAGAAGTCTACACATGTTCTTTTCTACAGAAGGCAACTTACAGCTATGAAAGTCACCCTAATCTTTCAAATTAAAATAAATTATTTTAACTTCATGAAGTAGTAAAATTTGACTCCTTGAAATGATACATCTTCCATAATAGATGGATGTTATTTTTATGGCAAAGACAGGTTGTCCTTACCTATTGGAAGGAAAGAAGCCCTTATCTACTGACATTCTATAACCACTTTTATACTTTTGTATAATACTATTTTAGTTATTTTCTTATTTATTGGGTTCTACTTTCTTCCTTTGATTTGTACAAGCTTATAGGAGAATGAAGCAGAAAATTGAAAGTGGTATAGAAAGACATTTTAAATATTGAAATAAAAACTTAAATGATCAGAATATTAATTTACTTGGTTTTGCTTGCTTGCTTCTTTTGGTTTACAGTTTTTAGGATTTGTCTGTTGGTTGCATTTTCAAAATGCAAGGGATCCACGAATTCATAAATAAATAAATAAATAACAAAAAAAACACCCTAACCAAAACCTAGTTTTCTCCCCTAAGTTTCTCCTTTAAACTAGGCACTCTTTAATGCATTGTTGTACTTCCTGACTCCAGTCTTGGGAAATATTTTTCAACTGAAAATACACTGATTTTTTTTGTAAAAACCAAAACTTCTTTAATGATTATATAAAGGCATCTATGTGAAGCTCATCAGGACACTCAGGTTGGGAGACAAAGGACAATGGAGAGTGAGTAAACCTTTATGACTCAGGGAGATGAGACAGGATGGACAGACTAATCACTGTCAGCTCACAAATGGTACAGAAAACCATGCTCAAAGTCAGAACTTGGTTATCAAATGAAAGAACACAGGAGAAATGAGCAGGACCTGGCTGCAGTTATCTGTTTTCCCTTGGGCCAGTGCAGAAATTCCCTCCTAGAAGGTCTTGCTTTGCTACAGGATTGCAACACTACTTCCTACAAAATTAGTGCAGGTTCAGTGTATACACTGGATAGTCATGCTTTAATAACTGATAATCAAATTCAAACTGAACACTCTGTCAATAGAATTCTGACACCCTAAACCTCCCAGCTGTTGTATACAGGTCATCTAAAGCTGTTCTCTTGCAATCAGAACGCACCAAGTCAAAAGTATAGTGGTGTATTAACTCCATAAAAAAAATATAATTTCATAGAAAAGTGGGGTGAAGAAAGAGAAAAAGCCCAGGGAGCCCTTCTTTGGCATCATAAACACACACAAGATATGATGAATTTTCAAACACATTGATTTCTCTGTGAATTAAAACACTTCAATAGTTACTGTGAAAGTAATGTTAAGGAGGACTTGGAACCAAATAAATTACCATCCAACCTCCAGAAAATAAGATTTTGACAGAAGATTTGCAGCTCTTCAGATTACTATTAATATTGAATGTTGTTAAAAACATGTTTCTCCTAATGCAGTCAACAGTCAAGCTTCTTAATTTTACATACATTAGTAAGTTAGGAATTTTCTTTCCTGTGTACAACAGTAAATTAGGAAAATATACCACAATGAATTCTAAGAAAGCAATTGAACCTACTTTTTCAGAAAAAAAAAAACAGTTTTCAGTCAATATTGAATTAAAACTCTGAATTAAAACATGATCACTGACTAGTTTCTTCCACCAACACTTGCCAAAATGAGGCGCAAAGACACTGAACTATGTTAGGCTACTCACACTATTGCCAAAAGCAGAAAGACCTTCTCATTAGAGTATGCTCTCATTGTGGACAAATAATATTGACCTTTTGAACTAATGTAAAATATTAATTGGAAATGCTCTTTATTTGGTAAGAAAATTAACATTTTTTCTTCATGTGCTGAAGATAATTACATATAGAGAGTAGCATTTCAAAAGTGATATGAAAATGACAGACTAAAGAAAAAGATGGTTAGTTGATTGACTTGTTATTTTGCTATGCTTTTTGCTATATAAAAAAAAAAGTGTGAAGTGCCTGTTGTTACACACATATAAACACAAAAGCAAGGAAATCAGAAGTTAATTCAGCTAATCTTTATCACACAGGCACACTCACTTTCAACTGTATAAGAACCATGCACACACGCACAGAATGTCCATCACAACTTTAAATCTGTTTCCACCATATTTCCCTCTATACATATACTTTCATTATACTATTGCATTATTTCATTATTATTAGACTATTATTTCTTCATTATTTAATTATCGATGCACTAATATTTATGGTATTTATATGATAGTTTTGCCAAGGTGAAAAGGTAATATTTTGGTATAACAATTCTAAGAGTCTTTACAAGCTGTAGAAAACTGCCTAATGACATCCGTATCTGTCTGCCCATTGGTTTCACTTCAACCTTATCTGACAACTGACTAGTAACTCTCTTTGGAATTTGTTTCCTTCTCTGAAATGAAGCGTCAAGGAAGAGGTTGACACTGTCTGGTTGGAATCAGTTCCTCCAGAGGAGGTGGACAGACCATGTTGTTCATGTCTGCATCCTTTAGGGCTTAAACCCTGCTGAGGGCTGAGAGAGGCTTAGCATATGCCTAGCCTTCATCCCTCCCGCTCCTCTCCCCACATCTTTCCCAGATCTTCAATATTTTTGGATGCTCTTCCTAGAGACCCCCTGGCTCTTCAGGACTATAGAAGTAGTGAATCTCATTTTGCCAGGTCAGTTTCAATAGTGGGAAATACTAAACTTCATCCTGTTCCCACTGATGTCAGTAGCAAACACCATCCAGTTCAGACAAGCCTAGTTTCCTTATTGTTCTTGTGATCCATGGAATAAATACGTATTACAGGATTTTGTGTTGTTCTGAGACAAAAATCTTCCAAAATTTCCATGTTTGTTGTTGTTAATCTGACAGAAACATATTGCCTCAAGTTATTAGAGCACATAGCCAGGCTTCTACAGTCATTAGTGCTCTGCCTACATTCATGCACATTTTCAGTCATGTAAACAGAGTTTATACAAAATACATGAACAATTTTACAGAGTGTTTTTGAAAATGCAAACTTTTACACAATAATACATATCATCAGCTATTCAGACACAAAATAATAATGTTACTTATCATGAATAGCAGCAAAATAGCTCCCATTCTCTATTTTATGCACAAATAAATCAAATTGAAAAGCATGCTGCTCTATCACATATAAACTAATAATGTTACTTATCAAATAAAGAATTGTTTCATTTTAGTAAACATGATATTTTTTTATTTCTACAGATTCCTCTTTCATGGAATCTAGTGTTATATAAGATATATTACCCGGTAAAAAGAATGTATGCCTTTGCCATATATGGTTTTACCTATTATTTACACTGCTTTGCTGAATTTGATATACTTTTTCAAATTACTTCAAATAAAGTAAATTTACATATTTGCCTTTAGTGACAGTAGGCAAAAACTCTTTAGAGAGTCACAATTTAAAGCATAATAAATAATTAATAATTAATAATAAAGTACTCAAAAATTGTACATGGAAAAACAATATTAAAAATTCCATTTTAGTATTCTTTTTGAGCAAGTGCAGCTATAGGTCTTTGTTGTAGTTTTACGCTGGCTGGGAGCAAAGCACCACAACACCACTCACTCACCCTTTCCCCTCCCAGGGATGAGGGAGAGAAGTGAAA